AAAGAAGACGGCACAGCGAGGTCTTAAGCAGCCTGTACAGTCGCTGCAGAACAAGTACTCGAAGTTAGGCGCGACTCAGAATAGCCCAGTCACGATCGACAGCCCTGAGAAGGAGCCAGCGAAACCAAAACGTCGACTCAAGAGCGGAAAGGACCGCAAGAAAGCCGTCTTCTCGCCCTCCCCCGAACCTGCACCCGCACGACCGCAACAGAAAACAAAGAAGGAGGCGGCGATCGTTGTCTCCTCCGACGAGGACGAGGGTATTGCTGCGGATCTCATGGTCGACGACGATTCGGAGGCAGGTGGTTCGGTGGTGGAGAACAGCTTTGACGACAGTAAATTGCTGAACCTCTTCAACACTTGTACAGTGGAGGAGTTGATCGACTTATCCAGTCACAAAGAAGAGGACATTAAGGAGATCTTCAAGCACCGCCCATTCAAGTCTCTTGATGCTATTCGCAAGGTTCATGTGGATCTCACGCCGGTAGAGAAGGGCAAGAAGAAGTCTCGCAAGCCACGTATAACAACCGGACAGCGACTTGTGGAATCTACCGAGGCCATGTGGAACGCATACAACACGATTGACTCAGTCGTTCAGCAGTGTGAGGCTCTGGGCAAGCCGATGGTCGCGGGCATGGCCAAGTGGGGCATTGATATTTTTGGTGCTTCCACAGAGGATGGAGTCGAGATTACAAGTCTCGATGATGCTAGCGACACGAACTCTTCTCGCGACTCAGGTTATCATACCCCTCGGAGCCCGAATGGCAGCGACACGGAGCCTAACAGCATACGAAAAGCGGTCACTCGTACGAAGCTTTTGACACAGCCCGCGATCATGAACGACGACATTGAACTCAAGGATTACCAGGTTGTAGGTCTTAATTGGCTGAACTTACTTTGGAAGACCAAAACCTCTGGTATCCTGGCCGACGATATGGGTCTGGGAAAGACATGCCAGATCATCGCTTTTCTGTCACACCTCAAAGAAGAAGGCGTCGGAAAGCCTGCGCTGATCGTTGTGCCTGGATCTACACTAGAGAACTGGTGTCGTGAGTTTGAGCGCTTCTCCAACACGATCAACTTTACGCCCTACTATGGATCACAGGCGGAGCGGTTCTCTCACCAGGAGAGCATTCTCCAAAATATTCGTCAGGGAACGTGCGATGTGATCATCACGACGTACGACCTTACCTTCAGAAAGGACGACTCTTCGTTCTTGAGAAAGTGCAGGCCTGAGATCTGTATTTTTGACGAAGGGCACATGCTCAAAAATGCCAACACGATCCGGTACAAGAGCTTGATGAAGATTCCTACGACTTGCAGGATCCTGTTGACCGGAACGCCACTTCAAAACAGTCTTCAGGAGCTCATGTCGATTCTGGGTTTCCTCATGCCACAGGTTTTCTACGGCGACCAGCAGGAGGAGGTCCAGGAGATGCTGCAGATTCTGTTCAAACACAAGGCCAAGACTATGGAGAGCGACTCGCATAGCTCTCTGCTCTCTGCTCAACGTATCCAACGCGCTCGTACGATGCTGACACCGTTTATCCTCCGACGAAAGAAGGCTCAAGTGCTCAAGCATCTACCGAAGAAGACGTCACGCGTCGAGTACTGCAATCTTACCGATACGCAAAAGACGCTTTACAACGAGCAGTTGGCCAAGCAGCGCAAGATCCTTGAAGACCGAGCAGCAGGCATACCCGTCAAGGACCATGCCAACGTTATGATGAAACTGCGACAAGCAGCTATCCATCCCCTACTCTTCCGCCACCGGTACAACGACGACAAGATCCGGAAGATGTCAAAGGCGTGTCTCAAAGAAGACATGTTCGCCGAAAGCAGCCCCGACATCATCTACGAAGAACTCCAGCTATACCAAGACTACCAATGCCACCAGCTCGCCTCCAAGTACCGCGCGCTCAAGAAATTCGAGCTCCAAGAGCAGGAATGGATGGACTCTGGCAAAGTCGCTGCGCTCCTCGCTTTGCTGAAAAAGTATAAAGAGAACGGCGACCGCGCTCTGGTTTTCTCGCAATTCACGTCCGTCATGGACATTCTCGGCTGGGTCTTTGACGACCACGACATCAACTTCATGCGCATGGACGGCTCCACACCGATCCAAGAGCGCCAATCCCTCATGGACGTCTTCTACCAAGACGAATCCATCCAACTCTTCATGATCAGCACCAAGAGCGGCGGCGCAGGTATCAACTTGGCCTGCGCAAACAAAGTCATCATCTTCGACTCGAGTTTCAATCCTCAGGATGACATCCAAGCGGAAAACCGCGCGCATCGCGTTGGTCAGACAAGGGAGGTCGAAGTCGTCAGACTAGTCACCAAGGGAACAGTCGAAGAGCAGATCTACGCGCTCGGTGTCAGTAAATTGGAACTGGATAAGATGGTCCAGGGCGAGGAGAGTGAGGAGGGCGCCAAGGGCAAGGGTAAAGCGAAGAAGAAGGACGAGGTGGCCGGTGCGGCTGATAGTCTGAGCAAAGCGGAGGAGGCGGGTATTGCGGCTGTGGAGAAGATGATGATGGCGCAGCTTGGTGCGCCGGCTGCAGAGGTGGAGAAGACGGCTGAGGCTGTGACTGTTGAGGGGGATGTTAAAGAGCAGTTTTTGAATGGCTTGAAGAAGGCGGGTTTGGATGTTGCTGCTTGATTCTATTCCAGCCGGCATATAATGGATGGAGTGGAGTGTGCGAGGTGTTGTTGGCACAGATTCCAGATGGCCTTTATCATGCAAAGGTCTATAGATGTTCTTTAGTTGGTTAGATGTGATCTTCTCTACTGCATATGCAGAGTCAGCATCCAGCGATGGCGTTGAAATGATGCGATTCATCTGCACATGCAATATTACGGCATTTGCCCAAAATTTGATTATGTACTACTATCTTGTACTTGAAACTATATACAGCGCCTGCTCCTAATATCCACACATGCTCTCCGTTCTCTCTAATCCTTCACACTCACACCAGCTTTACTCGCGTCCTTGGCAGATTGCTTCTGCGTCTTGGCTGTTTCTTCTTCTTCCTCTGAGCTCTCTTCTTCATCATCCTCATCGCTATCTTCCTCTTCTGAACTCTCCTCCGCTTCAGCTTCTTTCTTGGCTTGCGTCGCGGGTTTCCCTTTTGTAGCCAATGGTGCGGGTTTCTTGTCCTCTTCGCTGTCCTCCTCGCTCTCTACTTCCTCGTCACTATCCTCCTCTTCTTCGCTGCTCTCTTCGGTTGCTGCAGTCGCTTTTGCTGGGGCTTTAGTTGCTGCTGGTTTATCCGCATCGGCTTCCTCTTCTTCGGAGCTCTCCTCCTCGGACTCTTCTCCCTCGCTATCTTCCTCCTCATCATCATTATCCTCGTCTTCCTTCTTCGTCGAGCTTATCGGCCCAGCACTAAGCGCAGGGTTCTTCGCATCGTCGTGCATGGACGGAGGCGCATGTACGGGTTTCTGCAGATCGGAGAGCTTGGGAATGCCCGGTTTCGCAGCAGCCTTGGTGTCTTTTGTGCTCTTCGATTTCGTGTCTTTGCTCTTTGTGTCTTTGCTGCTTGAGGGTTTCGACGACTTTGACTTTGCGACAGGCTTTCCGAGACCGAAGAGTCCTCCTGTTGCGGGTTTTCTTGTAGACTTTGACTTTGCATCTTTTGAGAATGTGGCAGTCTTTGCCTTGGTGTCTTTCGCTTTGGAGTCCTTTGCTTTCGCGTCTTTCGCGTCCTTTGCCTTGGTGTCCTTCGCCTTGGTGTCTTTGCTCGTGCTTGGTGTAGCGGCTTTCGCGTCTTTCGTGCTCTTCGCATCTTTCGTCGTTGCGGTCGAGGTAGCGGGCTTGGTCTCCGCTTTGGCAGTCGAGGCAGCAGCCTTTGTATCTTTGGTCGCGGACTCGGTCGCGGTCGGTGTAGCAGGCGTCACAAGCTTCGGCGTGTCGGGTAATGGGACAGATTTGGGCGAGAGGATGCTACTAGGGTCTTCCTTTGTAGGGCTCTTCTTCGACGTCGCCGAGGTCGGTGTGTTCGTCTTCTCAGCCAGCAATGGGTTCGTAGTCTTGATGTTGCTTGGGGTAGGCTTCATCGACGCGGCCTTCTTCGCAGCTTCCGCGCCTAGCTCACGGAGCGCCAGGTTTGTCTCTGGACTGGGTATGACGATATTCTCCTTCTTCGCAGCTGCGCTTGTGGATGAGAAGGAGGAGGTGGTCGTAGCTGGCGCAGCCATGGGCGGTGGCCCGGGCTTCGCAGGAAAGGGCGTGAAGGCTGCCGTGACGCCCAGCGCTTCTCGAATCTCGTCGTACTCGTTCCATTCTTCGATCTCTGTGATGCCCTGCAAGACACGCATTAGCCTCCTGCCCCAGCTACGCGCCTTCGACTATACCTACACCCAGAACATATCCCTCTTTGACTATCAACGGTAGCTTCTTCCCGCTTGCTCTCCGCTGGAACAGCTTCTTTGCGAGCTCATCTGTCGCCGTGTCGACTCCCTTGAAAGGGATCTTGTTCGCCCTTAGGATTGTTTCGATCCGGGACGTGGCCGTGACAATGTGAGAGGACCCAGCGGTCAGTGAGGTGAAGAGGTATATCGTCGGGTCGTTGTCGTAGACGCTGAGTTCGGCCATGACTGAGGCTCGGTCGGGAGTCGCGCGGGGTACGGAGGATAGCTGTGCTGTGCCCTCGTCACGGTGGCGAAAGAGGCAGAAAGAATAGGAAGGCAAGCCGGCGTATATTGCGGAGGTTTTATAGGCCTCGAGACGACGACGTGTAGCGATTGTAGTTTCATAAGTCCACGGGTTTCATAACACCGCCCTGACAGGACGAGGGTCTAGTGGGGCGCTAGCTTGGACCCTTTATTTCACAATACAGTAGATCGGCGGGCATGCGCCAACTCGCGAGTCACCATGCACATGTCAAACACCATTTGGGATTTTAAGGTTGAAGATATGTTTGCATTATTCATATCGAGCGAATGACATTACAGATTATTCCAGAAAACATAACTAGTGCCGTTTTTCTCGTGACTACACATTATGCTGGCGTGGGACCATTGGAGTATTTGCTAGCAAGAACTGTCATCAGGGCGTCGCTGACTTCGAACTCCTCGAGGACTGCGCCAAAGCTAGGCAGTGTCAGTGCATGCTCAGCTGAAATCAGAGTGATACCAACATACCCGTAGCAGCGGACTTTGGCAAGGAGCTCCTTCTTCACGAGCTCAATGTCCTCTTTGGAAAGATCCCTGAAGCATTCGTCTTGGAGGATCTTCGCCCAGGCCATGATAGGCGTGATTTCCCCATCAAGGGGCAGACGATTGCTGAGATCGAGTAGTTTCATCAAATCCGGCATCTTGACGTCCGGCATCTGATGTGGATACTTCTCCTCGGGGCAATTCGTGATATGCGCATCGGGAGGTGCCGTTGCCATGAGCGCATGGCCGCTGATATTCTCGTCGGCCTCGTTGGCGCGGACCATTAAAAACTGCATGTGGTCCATGCAGGGTCGCTCGAGCCTGTTAGACGCAGTCGTCAGAACAGATCTCGTAAAGATAACGAATGACGTACGGAGGCCAAAAAGAATGAAGAAGAAAAGACGTAAGCGCATTACTGCTGGGGTGGAGGAGAAAGATAAGGCGATCGGTCGTACGTTAAGACGAAGTCAATGCCGATCTGGTCATAGTCCATCGAATGCTGCTGATGGTGACCAGACTGCTGGGCTTGTTGCTGTTGAAGAGTCAAGGCTTGACCGTTCATTCCATCATGAGAGCTGGATCCGCGTGTTGGTGGCGATGTGTAGCCAGTCGACGCTGATCCTGGCCCGTAGCCTGACATGCTGCCAGTGGAGCTTCCATAGGCAGAGCTGTCGACGCGGCCCATGCCATTGCTCCCCGGGCTGGAGTGGTCGAAGGAGATGCCATGTGCCATGAGCAGCTCTCTCAGTCGGCGGTTCTCGTCCGCGAAAGCGTCCCGTTCCCTCGTAGTAGCCGCAAAGGTATCCTTGAGACGGATCACCTCCTGCTCGAGGGCCTTGATGTATAGCTCCTTTCGCTCTCGGTGTGTTCTTGCCAACAAGTCAGTGCGTGATACAAGACATGGCTTGGCTGATGTTACCTCTGCGCCTGGCGGTTCAGCTCTTGCCGTCTGGTCAAAGCCGGTTTGCTATCCGGTTTGGGTCCTCTTCTCTTGGGTGGTTGGCCATCTTGCAGGAGTCAGCCACCATATCGAGGCGATGTCTCAATGAACGAACCTCTTGTTGTCTTCTTGTCGGTGAGACCCTTGAAGAATCCAAATTGTGCTAGAGGACTCTTAGATTCGCTTCCTACAGAGTGCCACTGCCCGGTACTCTCCATGTCCGACGCAAATCCAGCCAAGCTGCCCCTCCTGCTGCTGCTCATGCTCACTTCAGAGAAACACTCGGAAGCCCGACGAGAAGCAGCAGGTGAGGGGTACTCGATGGCAGCGCCGGATGGAGGGTAGGTGGGCGCCATGGTCAGCGCATGCGCATTAGGCCAGGACATATAACGAGCATGCGACATGATGTTTCGATATTAGGTAAGAGATGAAAGAAACAAAAAGGAATATTATGTATGTGTGTATGATGAGCTTTGACGAGAAAGGAGAGTAGTGCGGCCATGTATATGTAGTGTCGCCAGCGCCTCGCCGGGTGAGGCACGCAAGCGTTCGCAGGGTCTTTGGCCGTTAATGCATCGATCTCAACTCAACGGCCGGCAACCATGCGAGCCGCGGGGAATGTTGCAACGTTCATGCTAACACGAGCAGAGCTGTCAAGGTTGTCATGGCGAGACTGGTCATGTCTCTGCAGCACGTTTCTGGGAGTGGAGTAACGACGCGAGAAGCTTCAGCGGCGGCGACCCAATGGCGGATGCCATGTCTACGTGCCAAGAACAAACTGTAGGAATCGCGAAGCGGAGCCAAAACAGATACAACTTCAAAACGTGGAGCGATTAAAGCGCTGGAGACTGCCAAGAGAAATTCCACATACCACTGCTGTTGTCGCGATGACTGGCACCCTCGGAGGAGGGGTCGGTTTTGATAGTAGTTGCCATGCTATAGGAGCGGCATTGGCAGCAACGCGCACTTATGGGTAAACGGTTCTCACCCTCGGCGCCGAAATGGCGGAGAAGCCGTCGAGTTGCAGTGAGCGATGCGCTAGACGCAAGTCAGTCCACAGGGCGACAATGAACCCCTGCGCACATCCGAAACGTACAAAAGTCGGGCTCGTCGGCGCGCAGAGATGACGAGTAGACAGAGCCGGTGCCCGCGGTTCTGCCGTGGGGTGTTTGGGTATTTGAGCAGCGAGACTTTGAGGGTACGTCTAGTTGTAGTGGAATGCGGCCGAGGTCCTCCTGTTCCGTGCTTCCGAGTTGGGCCAGACGGCGATGATGAAGAGACGGTTGCAATGGGCGACGAGCTGCCGGTCAATTGAGACAAGCGATGGTGCCCTTGGCGTCGCAGAGTTGAATGTAGCACAGGAGAGGGCACGCTGGTCTGGACGGACGTGCCAGGGTAGCTCGACTCCTACACTTGCAGTGCGATGTTCAACGCGATTTAGTAGCCAGCCATGCACGAAATAATGCGCTACACACTCGAGATCGTCGGCGAGAACACAGCCCCAGCTAACGATTTGGAATCTGCCTGCCATCCGGGTCTGGAGGTTGCAAGATGAGGCGGTCAGTGCACAAGATCGAGCCAAACAGCCTTTGGAGCAATCACAGCCAGAGCGCGGAAGCAGCTTGTGATCCGCTGGTGTTTAGCGGCTTCATTCTGCGGCTCTGCAGCGACTCCGGTCTAGAGCTTGCAGCTGGCGTGCAGTGCAGTGGCGCCGTGCGACACCCAACATCCCAGCTTTACAGCGCAAAAACAAAGGGTCGGCGCGCAAAATACCCCATGGCATTGTGTCATGGGCGATGCATGGTCAGGGCTGGGTATCAAAACCTGGCCCAGCCACTTCGACCGCCCGATAAGTCTCGGGCACGCCTTCCCGAGGTCCTGTGGCGGGTGCATTCTGCTCTACCACACTTCAACGTACTTCGTATAACAGCTATCCACTTAGACATGCAGTTGCCTACTCCGTACGGTCACGTTGTGCGGTATATACGATTTGCGGGGCAGCCAATCGCTATATTTCCTGACGTCGACCCTTACGACATAGCGCCTACTTGATCGTACCATCGGAATGCGATTAGGAAGCAAGACTGGTCACATATCCTCCATTGTACTATATAGCCTGCTCTAGATGCTCCAGATCGGTTGAGTAATCACTGTGGCCTTTGAGCAGATCCCGCAGCCGTATCCGAGTGCCTATAGCTTTGGCTTGTTGTCGAGGATCTTCTCAATCTCCTCCATGAGCTCCGGTGTCAACTTCTCGAGCAACTTGAGAGCGCCACAGTTGTCCTTGACCTGTTCGGGCTTCGTTGCGCCAAGAATAACAGTAGACACATTCGGGTTCTTAGCTGCCCAGGCAAGCGCGAGTTGAGTCGTGGTGCCTCCAAGTTTCTCAGCAATCTTAGTCAGTTCCTTGACCTTCTTGATCTTAGCCTGTCCCTCGTCGCTCTTCAACGCCTCGATTGAGTTCTTGAAGAATTCGGGGTTAGTCGCGAATCGGGAGTCGGACGGAATGCCATCGTTGTATTTGCCAGTCAGCATGCCCGAAGCCTAGGTTTTGGCGCACGAGTTAGTATATATCTCACATGCAGTACATTCGTGCTGGATTCTTACCAAAGGTGACCAGATGGTCGTGCCGTATTGATACTTCTTGTACAATGGGGCGTATTCCTTCTCGAAGCGCTCACGGTGGAAAGCGTTGTACTGAGGCTGCTCCACGATTGGGGCGATGAGGTTGTACTTCTCGGCGATATCGCATGCCTCCTGGATCTGCTCCGCAGACCATTCGGATGTACCCCAGTAGTATGCCAGGTTCATCTGGATTGTCTGCGTGAAGGCTTCGACGATCTCCTTCATGCCAACGCTAAACGTACGTTAGTGGACACTCGGAAGGCAGACAGCCAATACATACTCAGGATCGTAGCGATGAGCAAAGACAACGTCGACGTAGTCGTGGTCAAGACGCTTCAGGGAGCTCTTCAAACCCTCGACAATGTGCTTCTTGGATAGACCCCTACACATTCGTTAGACGGGTAAAAGGAAGCAAGACGGCCATCTTACCTGGTGTTTGGCTCCTTCCTCTGAGTTCCGAAGAAGACCTTTCCAGTACTGTCAGTCCCCACTCATGATGAGAATAGACTGATCTTACCTTTGTCGACAAGACGTACTCGTCACGCGGCCATTGCAGCTCCTTGAAAGCCTTGCCCATCTCAAGTTCACACTCGCCTGCTGCGTATACCTCTGCAGTGTCGAAGAAGTTGATACCGTGGTTCCAGGCCTCCTGCATGCAGTCCTTCACGATGGAACCCTTCTGCGTTCCTCCGTATGTCAACCAACCTCCCAAGGACAGGACCGAGACCTTCAACCCAGCGGGTCCAAGGCGACGGAACTGCATGCTATGTTGACATTAGCAAATGTTCGGACGAAACAGATGTAGAATGCATGTGTCAATTTGGGAGTCCCAAATCGGACGCAACCACGCATCCGGGCAGACTCTTCTATACTAGCAATTGGCGTGACTTACTCCTTGGGGTCAAACTTTGTCTCGACGGCAGGCATTTTGCTTGTTTATTATGAGTAATCTGCTGAAGAGGAATTTTGGTTGTGTATGAGCTTAAATGAGGGGCAGGACACCTAGGCATAGAGAAGCAGTTGCCCCACCGTGGACGGCAACTACCATGATGTCACGTCATGCGGGGTTAAGGTAAACTCCATAACGGCACAAGGTAGAAGAATTGCCGTATGCCTTGGGTAAACGCGACTGAAAGAATTGGGAAAGATCAGCCACTGTACAAACCAAGCGGCGCAACGTTCCGCCTTACTTACGGCTATCACATTTGCGGCGGGTCAGGGCTGAGACACCCGTGGCCAAGCTCGTAAGCCGCAACAACCTTTCTTCCGCCCGCGACCCAACCAGAATGCCCCATTCAACTCTTCGCTGGATGCCTATCGTCCCACAATTACCCTATAATTTTGTTGCGGTGGCACGGGAAGCTGTTTAAACTCATGTCTAACTCCTGTCCAGCGGCATTGGCGAAAGCTTGACCTCGCTCGTTTCATGTTTCGAACATCCCCGGCAGCTCGGTGGCGCAGAACCAATCACAGTCGCACAACGCGTATTCACGTGCATTGTTCGTCACCTCGCACAGGCAATGATTGGCCGTCACTGCTCGTTGATCTGGGGAATACGGTAAGACGGGTTCCTGACTATTGTGCTGACGGCGCACCTGAAGGGGGCGTCGAGGCGCGCCTAAGGTCATATATCTTGGCCGTCACCTTCCTTTATCACTTCTATACACTGCCTCCTCACGGTCTCTCGATCCCTTGTTTAGATCACTAGCTTCTGCAGGCCTGAAGCAAATTCCATTCAACGTCACTCATTCAAGAACACTGTTCTGGCCACTCACTTTACAATACAACTTTTGCATTCGGCCTATTCAAGAGCTCCTTCTTACTTAAGATCATCACCTCGCACCAGACTTGGCCTCAAACATCACTCATTATATATACACCAACATCATCAAAGAACATCGACCTTACAACTATATACCTATATACTCCACCAATCAGCCGATCAACAACATGGGTTTCAAGAAGAACATCCTCGTCGCAAGTGCCTTTGCACTCTGCGCTTTCGCAGCACCTGTCCCCGCCCGGGGCCCCGATTGCGACCTCGAAGACGGTGCCCCGGCAGCTCCCCCAGCAGATGCCCCAACCACCGAGGCGAGCCTGACTGCAGACAACTTGATCGCCATCGCCCCCACCACCGCATCCTGCGACGGTGCACCATTCCCCGACGAGTGTGCAGATGCAACTGCAGCCGCTACTGCTATCAACAAGGCCTTCGAGACCTACAAGATCACATCCAAGGGCGAGAGGGCGGCGATCGTCGCGTATGAGCTCTTTGAGAGCGGAAACTTCAAGTACAAGAGGAACCACTTCCCCGCGCCAGGTAAACCTGGTCAGGGAACGCGAAGTAAGTAATGCTGCTATATGGACTGACTGTGAGACATCAACTAACTTTCATGCTTAGTGATGGCCATGCCAGAAGTTATCGAGAAGTACACAACCGCTGTTGTCGGTGCAGACGCCGTCACGACAGCAAAGGCTACAGGAGTCGATGCCGTTCTCGACCTGGTCAACTCTGACGACGAGAAGAGTTTCGGTTCCGCGGCCTGGTACGTTACTACGTGCACTGAGGACGTCAGAGCCGGTCTTGACGCGGCCACCATCGAGGGCTGGCACCTTTTCTTGACGAAGTGTGTCAACACTTCGCTTGCTGATGAGCGTGACGCGCTCTGGACCGCCAGCACGCCCAACGTCCAGTAAGGAGACTGAGATATGTCACGATACTGGATTGGTG